GTGGTTGGGGGGGGGGGGAGGAATCAGTATTCATCTACTTCCCAGGGAGAAAGTGAAGTTGGCAGTGTCTGACCAAAGGTGCTTTGAAGATGATAACATTTACTGCTGAGTATAAAAGAAATGAGAAGCAACCGTGCGTACCAATCTGTACCTTTAGCTCCCAAACATCCCACGGGCAGCGTGAGTGACTAGTTCTTCTGCTTCCGAGTCCCCCAAAACAATGCGACTGGCTCATACACTCATCAGTGCTAAAACAAGTTTGCAAGTTGAAGAGAGTCCATATTGTTCCCTCTACTTCTGGTCTTACCTGTGGGAAGTCCAAGAGTGAAGTATTTGTCTGGACCAGGGCTAAACTGAACAATTCGATTCCTAATGAACTTTGCAGCCCACTCGCTGGTCTGTCCATAGTTTTCCAGAATGATGAGTTTCATGGTCACCTGCGCGTTTGAACAAGGAAACTTTAACACGATTCACTTCTGCATTGACAACGGTACCGAGAACTCGATATAACCCTAGCCGTTTTTTTTGCACAGTCACATTCTTGCTCCACCTCTTACCGCAAGACGTGCGAGCGGGAACAATCCAAGGTGGACGCATTACCTGTATTCAATTGTGAAATAATCGGCAAACGACTCTAAGCCCACCAGGCAGGTACCGAAACTACCAAGGGAAGCGACACGAATTGACACAGTGCTTGAAAAGCACCGGGCAACAAACAGAGCGCGGGCTCACCGCGTGATTTGTGCAGGACGGTGCAAGCGGGACATGCGAGATGAATCAGTCGTTCCCCTTCTGACACCAGAGGAGTTGCAGGGTCCGTGCCTTGGCAAGGGCTCTGCCCTCTGGCAGGGTCACAGACGTTCAGGGCTGGAAAGGACCTTGTGAAATCAGGTCCAGCCCCCTGCTCTGCGCAGGAGAGACCGCTGGGGTCTGCCTCCCACTCCGCTTCCGAGGTCCCTGCACAGGGGAGGAGCAGGCCTTGCCTGGCCTGCGAGATGATCAGCGCGGGCTAGCAGCGAAGCCCGGCTGGGACACGAGACAGGTCGCCCCTTGCAGCCTGCTGTGCGAGGCCTGGGGAAGGGGCCAGGAGCCAAGTTTGGCTCCACTTCCCTCCCGGTCTGCTCCAAGGCCGGGCCGAGCCGGGTCCCCAGCAGGGTGGCGGGAACCCGCAGCACCGGAACAAGCCCTGGGGCGCCGCCACCCCCTTACCTGCGCTCGCCCCGCCCCGCCCCGATCACGTGACCGCCCCGGCTGAGTCAGCAGCTGGGCCCGCCCAGGCGCTG